CAAATCAAACCAAACTTAACTAAAAAGTTTAAGCTCAAACTCAAACCAAACTCAATTTTAAAAAAAGTTTGAGTTTGGGTTTGATTTGAAATCAAACCCAAACTCAAACTTGGCAAGAATTTGATTTGATTTGATTTGATAGGAACCCTAGGTACTACCTCTATCAAGAAGCAGTCAAGCAACCCGAAAGTTGCCACAAACAAAGAAAATACACTATTATAACCCGTGCCAAGTTAAAGTAAAAATTATATAACAACTACAACTGTTATATATCTTAATTGTACAGCCAAGCTTTAACATATACCTTCCAACTACCGACCAAATCTAGATATCTCCTTAATCTGAGACCCGATCCAAGTCATGTAGAGAACCACCCACTACCCGATCCAAGTTACATGGAGTAACGCTATATCCTTTGATAAACAAGACACATCGGTTGTAATATACCAAGTCTGTTTGGATTTGGATGTAAACAATGCCAATCTTTTGGAGGTGTAAGCCAAATCCCTACTTTTTGTTGAAATTTTTTGGAAGAAAGGCAGAAAGTTGAAAATAAGTAATAGAGAAATCACTTGAGACAAAAAAAAATGCAGCTTCAGAGCAACAGATAATTTGTTGTTTCCCCAGTGTTCTTCTTCGAAGTAATGACCTAAAAGCTTCGTTGATGATGCCAGTTCTGACCTGCCCGCCACCAAGATTTTTTATACAAGAGCACCCCTGCCAGTTATCTTGTATAATAATGCTCTTGGCTTGCATGCCAAATGTCCCTTGTAGAGGAGTCCCCCATAGTAGTAGGTTGACCTCTAGACAAACCACCAGTAGACCACGACTCTCCAACAAATTTTTCTGTTTTTCATCAGTGGGAATTTCGGTCCAAGTGATCGTCGGAAAGAGTTTTGACCCTATGCTCCAACCACTTCTATTGGTTCTATCTGTGCTATTGATTAATTATATAGTACTCCGATAGTGAAGTGGTGAGAAAAATTAGTAAACACTGATTTGTATAGTGATTTGCTGTAAAAAGTTCTGTTACTGTACTTACCGACTATTGTGGTTTTGTGGACTTATCGTGATTTGTATAGTGTTTGCTGCGATTACTGTACTTTCGAGCTATTGTTACATAAGTGATAATCAATTATCTTCTAAACTTTTTTAAGCTGCTAAAGTTTACAAATACATATTGTACTTACAACCCCTTAACTAATTTATAAGCTTTCTTTGCCCATATGTCGTTTTGTATACTTTCTAATAAGTTCTCCAAGTCAGCAATTGACTCAGAATACCTTTTCATCATATAATTAATTTCACCTCGATATCTTAACGCTATTGTATTGGCTGGTTCAATTTCTAGCAATCTAGTTGAATCTTCAAATGCTTTATCATATTTGCCCATAATATAAAATAGTTTTCCTCGGTATCTTAATTCAAATATATTACTTGGATCTTTTCTTAGTGATTTTAATTCATCGATTAAACTAACAAGCATATTTTCATATACACCCATAATAAGATAAACCTTTTCTCGATATTCCAATGTTAATGTATTATTTAGTTTTTTACTATTGTCTTCATTAGTCATTGCTGTCAATTGAAATATATATAGACAAGGTTAAATTCTAGATAAGCCAAACGATTAAATCATTTAAATAAATTTGCTGGAATATTCACTTCTATTGATCCGCCTTGCAATCTAAATCCAACTCAAGGGTATAGATGCCTTTCAAATCGTCAGATACGCAATTTCTTAAAATATTTTTTTATTATCGAATTTTATCTATTTACTTTAAAAATATAAACTTTAGTTTCTAAAATCCATTTTTAGTATTAAACACTATCTTATTTCTAAAATTTAGATAGCATCCAACTACATCACCAGTAATATATTCAGGATGATCTAATGAATCATATGGCCCACCGCCTCCTGAGCAAAAAGAATATCCATCGTTCACCATGGTAACTATATTCCCATGATTCATTTCCCTCGCTTTTTTTATTTTCCTTGTTTTCCTTATTTTTTTTATATAAGAATATGATATAGATATTAATTTATAATAATAAGGAAATGAAATAAAAATTTGTTATTACTAGGCATGAGCATATTATTTATATAATTTAAATCATCTATTTTTTCATCGTCTTGTTTTGTGTAATATCCGAATCCAATCATTCTATTAAGAAAATAGAAGTAAAAGATTATAAAAAACCGCAAGAATAAGGGTGATGTTTATGATACGAAAAATGATTAACATTACCTATTTTTTCCTTTGTTTTTGATTTTAATTTCAAAGTAAAATATCCCACACTCTGAAGGGATTGGATGATTTGCTTGAATGATAGCAACTTTATAGTCATCAGGATCTTTAATTAAAGGGGTTTTTAATATACATATTAAAAAGCTATGTTATACTTTAAATGCCAATAATTACAGTAACACATTAAATATGTTTCTACAAGTTTCTCACTTTCATATTACCTGTATGATTCATTTTAAGTCCACTTGGATCTATGTCAATAAATGGTGATTTATCTTTAACCCATGCAGTCAGTAAAACTATCATTGTACGAAGATATCTCTCATTAATTTAAAAATTAACTCAGGCGAACATACAAAAATAAGTTATATTTTGTACATTAATACAAACATTTATTACCGAACACAATGCATTATTTATGTATACGTGCCCATGCCATCAGCCATTTATAGATGGTCGAAATTTTGTCAGTATATAAATTGTCGATAGCAGATAATAATTCAATATATACTAAAGGTTAACGTTAACTGACAAATATAATGTATTGACATTGCTAATAAGATGAAAAAGTGTAAAAAGTAGCAATTTATGACAAAATCAGTCTATTTTAATATGAAATTTTAACACTTATAATTGTAAATGGGAACGGAATCATAATAAGTTCAGAATTCACTTAAATTAGAATGGAATAATTATACTCAAAATCTCAATCCTTCCTAACCTTAAAAATTTCGAATCAACTTAAATTCTGTACTAACCCAATGGTCAAGAACTTGTCGTTCATTTTTACCAAGAAATATTTATAAAAATTCTCGATCGTATGTAAGTTAATATGCATCGATAACAATACAATGAATAAATCACGAAATGGCTTTACCACAAAATCCCGAAAATCCCGAAAGGACATAATACCGATCAAGTTAGCCAGCATTAGTGATAATGCTGGCCAATTTAGTCGGTATTATGTCCTTTCGAGATTTTTTTTGTCTTTCGGGATTTTGTGGTAAAGCCTCACGAAATATACATGTAAAAGTAAACATGATTATGTATGCAAAATCAGCCGCTAGGGCTAGCTTTATTAATAGTTACGATAAGTCTCAGAAAAGTTAGTTTCTTAGGAAATGAAGAAAAATATCTTTTGGTGGTGCTTATATACTAATAGATAAAAGATTGTGTATCAAGAAAAATTAAAAAAAGGCGAACTTTATAAAATAAGTTCTTCTTCCATGTTAAGTAAAACGTAATAAAGATCTATAGTAAGAGGATTGGATATTGATGTAGGTATGTGAAAATCAGTTGGCATTCCATGAAAAATGCATTCTGTTTTAATATTAATAGTAAATTGTTGAGGTTGAATAATAATTTGGTTTTCATCATTAATGGTTTCAAATTCAAATTCCTTTAAATGTAAAGTATATTAAAATTATTTTCTGCCAATAAACTTTATATTAAAAATAAAACATACTGTAACAGGTATTAATTCTCCTGTTAATTCCCTATTGTCTATGCAATAATGCCATGCCTGTCAAAAGAATAAAAATCGTAAAATAATGGTAAGAAACTGAGTCAAAAAATTTTACTTTCCTATAATTACTTACTTTCATTCTTGAAATAATCGTATCAGATCGTATTAATTTTATTGCAATTACATCATGAGCTCTATTCGGGTAGAGCCAATAATTTTTTACTACATTTAATAAATGTTCTTCAGTTTCCAAGGAGGCTACTTCTATTATGAGATTTGGCCATGGTTTATGCTAATAATGCAATCACCAATATTAGATATTTGATTAAAAATAACAATAGAAATAAAAATATTTAAAACTCTACTTACAGAATCTGTACCCTCACTCCATTTGAATTTACATAAGGTTTGCCCCTTGGTATAACAGATCCGTCTGCTTCTTTACCCATACCATCTGCTCTTGTACCTTTGATTCAATAATAACATATATGAATTATCTAATAGCATCAATAACAACCAAAAAGGTTAAATACTTACTAACAGATCCATACATAACCATTGTTTTTTCTGGATCTTTCAAAATAATCTCCCTTATAATCGCACAAGAACAAGTACAGTGAGGTCCTAATGGTAGGTCATAGACATAAACTTTTCTATCTACCCACTCCCAATTTCCATGCACACTAAACATATCAGTTCGTTCAGCATATTTCTCCCAACTAACATCACTTTTCAGCAGATAGGGTAACCTTAACATAATACATCCATTGAATGTTAACATTGGTTCATAATTATGAACAACAACAAAAAAATACTTACGAAGCTTCTTCCCATCTTGCACTTGGATGAATATTACCCTGATTCCACCATAATTCTCGAAATTTTGTCAGAGCATCATTAGATTTCAAAAGTTGAAAAGTTGGATTGCTATTTGTAATAATTAAAACATTTCTGGTGAGTTATCGCAAAAAAAAAAAAAAAAAAAAATTTATAATTACACATTCTTACTTACGTTGATATCTCAATAGAGCTTGCTGTTTTTTCTGAAGTCAAGCTGTCTTTCGAAGTTGTATTGCTATACAACAATTAATTTAGAACGGCACTAAAAAACTATCCAACGGATATTATAATCACATTTACCTTGATACCTCACTAACAGACGGTTTATAGCCAGAGGTATTTCCTAAAGTTGACATTTTGTATACCAGATCTAAAATTCTTAGGAGTACATGTAATATCTAAGGTAGAGTGTCCAGAATTATTATCCGGTCATTGCAAAATTATGCGTGCGGTGTTATTTATGTCTGGAACTTTTTTCATTAGTATTACGTTTATTATTAGTTTCTTATTTGGGTATAGTCTGGGAAAATGATTATCGTGGCGTATTGACTCCCGGAGGGAGTTAAAAGCGAGTTAAAAGCCCCGGAGAGTTTAAAAACACTCAGAAGGAGTTTAGGACTCCAGACTAAATTTACGAATATATAAGGGTGTGGTTTCAGTCTGCGAAGGGGATAACTCTGGTTGAATGATTGTTGATAGTATTTATTGATTTAAACCACTTAACCTTAATCACAAATTATGCGAATTATGCAAACCTGGGGATTAGGGCTAAAAAAAATTTTTTTGAGGACAAGCGTTTATTATTCTTATATATTCCTTCACTAGCCAGTTCGCCTTAATAATCAATTTATATAACCAGTATATAGTTTACAAGCCATTAGGTTTTTATCGGCTGGCTTAGCCAGCCGATAAAAAATCGACTAAGGTCAAAATTTTTTTTATCTTCAGAAAAATATTAGAGATTTACTTAAATCTTTCTTCAACTTTGTTCGTCTTTTTATGTTTGCTCATTTCTTTGGAACCTTGTGCCTCCTTTTATTTAATTTCGCCTGGCATTATCTCTCCGGCCTAAATTATACTATTTAAAGTCATGTAATCCTAAGCCGCATTAGCATTATCCAGCAGATCATATTACATCGGTTGGCTTAGCTGGCTAGCTATCTTTTAATTATACTCAGTACTATAATTAGGGTTGTTAATGGAGTAATCCAGATATTAATAAAACATATAACCCACTCCGGAGTGGGTTATATGTTTTACTATTGACTGGAGTGCTCCATTAACAACCCTAACTATAATAGAAGCGGGATTATATTATAAACATCATAGTACCCGGGAAAAAAAAGGACCATAAAGTAGGGACACGTGAAAAATTGCTTTAAAAATTTAAAAAAATTATTTGAAAATGTGAGGATTTATTATTAATTTTGCCTGTAAAAGAGGCAAAAAATTTTCGGGTGATCCTTATTACGAAAGAAAAAAAAAAGAAAAATACATATACCAGTATATATTGCAAGAAAAAAAGATGAAAGGCTCAAAAAAAAGCATAAACTAAAACTTTTATACTAGAGACTTTATCAGTACGGTCAATTTTTTTTTTTTTTAAAAAAAAAAAACAAGAGTCGATGTGTCAAAGCGACTATTGAAAATGGTATCCCAACTCTAGTGTTCAAAAAGAAAGCAAAGGCCAAAATTAATTCTAGCGATTAATATTTAACGACTGATTTATGAATTTATGATGGTTTTTTTTTTTTTTAAAAAAAAAAATCGTTTTTGCATATGATAGTAGGGTTGAAATTTCATTCTTGTAGCAACATATGTCGGTTTCTTTAACGTAAGAAATTAATAAAGTTCGCTTACCTTTAGAAATTTTCATTTTTTTTAATCTCTCAAGTGACACCTTAATAAATCATCAAATGATTTAGATAAATCTACTTTTTGAAAATCGTTGTATTAAAGAATTTTCGAACCCCTGAAATGTAGACATTTTCGATAAGAAGTACTTTAATCTTTTTCAAGATTTCAATGAAATGCAAAGTGTTATCCCATGACTTCTAAATGCGTAGAAATTTGCTGACGGGTTTTCGTTTGTGTCACTCATAATTTCATATTTGAAAATAATATTCAGTATATTGTACTAAATTATTAAAAATTCCAGATTTGATAAATAGAAAAACCCATGATCCGTAACTCTGGTCAAATTTGCAGATCATTTGGCCAGCTTTGAAGTCGAATAATCAAACCTGGCCAAATGATCTGCAAATTTGACCAGAGTTACGGATCATGGGTTTTTCTATTTATCAAATTCCACAAATCCGCCGATATGGTACCATTTAGATGATTCAGTATAAATAATTTAACAGGTGAATATGAGTGTTGCCAGGAACTGTTAGTTTTCCGAAATTTCATTTTCAGAAACAGCTTATAAGAATTTGATGTTGTCTGTTTCTAAGAGTAAGGTTTCCGAAAATTAGAATTCCAGGTTTTCCTTTGGCAGCACTCATATAATGCCTTTTTTATATTACCTAATCAATATTTAAATATTTAATATAAACTGTTTAAATTCGAATATTTAAAAGTTTCAAATATTATCTTTACGTGATGTCTCATTTTAAATTCGTGTAATAATTTTATGGGAATAAAATCATTAATCAATGCATTTTAGAATAATACGTATGAGAATTTTTTATTTTTAAAAGCTAACTGCTAAGAATGCTACTGAACCTGACTGATGCTAAATTACCAATAAGAAGCGGCAGTCCTAGCTTCAACCGAATTCTAGTCTCAGCGTCAATGTTTTAAAGGTTTTTTTTTAAAGATGTTTTAAAAAACTTAAAAACTGGCTAACCCGTTTTTTTTCATCCCTAATTGGAATGTTATAAATACGTAATACGTAAAAGTGATCCTTTATTAACTGTTAATAAAGTGGAAGGGGGGAAAGAGTATAGAACAGAAGGTAGAACACACGGAACAATGATTAACAGAATACGCTCACTCTAATGATTTAATTTCCTTAATGTCCAACTATTATTAAACCGAATTCCTTAATAAATCACATCCCGCATAACTTATGCAGTGTCCAAAGCTAGACCGCACACATGCTAATTTATTGCTCTTCCAATTCTGGGAACTACAAAGTATATATATTGTTGGTAAATTTTCACCCTGTGTGATGTCGTGTAAATGGCACGTGCGTCGGGAAATGAGACGTAAAAAAAAGACATACATAGTATTATGCGACACGATGATGTTTTACAGAATGAATTCTATGAGATCTCTTACAGTTAATCTAACGAACAATGAAACACAACTTTGATCGACGAATTGACAAATAACAAACCTATAACGAATAAAACTTTTAAGCTTTCTCTTTCATAATATGAACAAATTAGCCCATGTGAAGTCAAATTTTTTTTGTTTACATCCTATTTATCATAACAATTTTTTATTTGTTTTTGACACACTTATTTAACATTGCTTGATAAAGGCTTACTCATTTCAGATTTCATGTAATGTAAAATTTAAAATTACTATCGTATGAGCTTGTTTTTTGAGCATGATTTTGTAGAAAAAAAAAGACATATTGATTTAAAAAGAAAGTAAAAATATTCTATTTAAAAAAAGAAAACTTCTTATTGCTGCCATCTTTACAGATCATTTTCATAATATAAGGTTTAAAAATGTGTAATGTACAAGCAACCATCAATACTAACGCAGTCCAATGAATCACCAAATCTGTTTGTTCAACAGCTATTCCGAATAAAGTCCAAGCAATGATTGATGCACCAGCAATATCTTTAAATATTTCAATATACACAATAGCTGCAACTTCCATTAAAACTAATCCTAGTATTACAAAAATTAGAACTATAAGGGTTGGACCTCTATCGTTTTTAACATTAGGAGTAAATGAAGCAAAAGTAGTAAGTAATGTTGAAACAAGGATCCAAGCGTGGTAAAGGGAAAAGGGAATGTGGATAAATAAAGTTTCATATTTGTCTTGAGGAAGATATTTTTTTTTAAGTGTCCAATAAATGACAGAAATTTGCCAGGTAGCGACTATAATCACTATCCATGCTACTAGAATTAAATCTTCTTGCTGTTAACGTTAATAAAGTACGTATATAAAATTAAATAATATCATTATTAATAATGAATATAATATTTAAATTGAACGAATCTAATATCAGGAAAATTAAATAAGTGTAAAGTCTGCAAAAATCTGCAATTTTTTGCAAAAAACTGCAAAATGGTTTCATAATTTGAAATTTTGCACAGAATTGTATTTAATTTTCTGTGGCTATAGCTGCTGAGTCAGAAGTTTTGTACAGATTTTCATTTAAATTTATTATTTAATTTTTTTTTGCAAATTTGTGCAGAACTGCACTAAAAAAAGTTTCCTGATGAATAAAACTTATGTATAGGTAGATGAAATACCCATAAAGCAAGGCAGAGTACACTAAGTAACGTAACACCAACAAAATGCCATTGAATACCATTGACAAGTACTTCAACGCGAGCTTCAAAGAGTTGATAAACGACTAATTTTGAAATATACTTGAAATGTAGTAATTAAAAAAATTTTATACGGCCATACAAACTTAATAAAATTGGTTCGCATAATCCGGATGGATTTTTTTTTAAATGTCTAAAAAAAAAAATTTATATGATTTTTTACATATATAAATTTTTTAAAAGTGGGGCTGCCGGGTCATTTTTAAAATTTAATGTTATGAGAATCAAAAAATTAACTTCGTATGGCCTAAATTAAAATTTTATATTATTATATTCACCAAATCCAGCCAAAAAGAGATGAATAACAGCCCAAATATAAAAGGTAAAAATAGCAGGACTAATATAAGTGCTCATTGATTGATGACTATGTGGTGATTCTTCCTAAAATTTTTTAAAAAAATTTTTTTAAGATATCCTAACATAGAAATGCTTGGTTTTTTTGTTTTTTTTTATTGCAAACGTTAATTAAAAACTACCTCTTTAAGACCCAACCCCCAAATAATGTTTACGGTAAGAAACAATAGATATGCTAATATATTCGAAGCCTTTATGAATGTTTCAGGTTTAACCATCTTATATAATTATTTACAATTAAAATTTTTACAAATTGATTTAAAAATGGTAATGGTATGGTGAAAAATTACTACAACAAAGATGAAGGTAGAAAGGCTTTTCATAGTAGTGGCTATATCGTGGATTGTATTTAGTGGCTGTGATTTATCTGTTATATAGATTAGTACATACGTAAGTAAATATTTTGAAAGAATGAAGACATTAACGGTTAAATTGTTCGTAAACATGACGTGGCTTATTGAGATTTAACCTTTTACTTGGCTTAGAATTTAGCATGTACGCGAACGTATGTACGTACGTAAATACTGTACGTATTTATATATCAGATATCATAGATATCATATATTAATCTTTTATCAAAATATTTAAAACAAGCAGCATAAATATATTAATTAATAACAATTATGTTATATAATATTAATGTTCATTTTTATTTTATTATATCTTGGTTTATATTTATTTTTAATAATTTTTTTTTTTCATTATTTATTTATTTATTTATTTATTTTGATAAAAAAAGATACTTATGATCTCAAAAGAAAAAAAGAAACGATCTTTACAAAATCTTGACGTGTGACATTTCTTTAATGAGTATGTAAAGATTACGCTCATACTTACATGTACGTACGTACGTACGCACGTACCAAGTACGTACGTGCGTGCGTAAGTACATCAGTAGCGTACACAACTTTTGTTCATTGTCACTCAGATTATACTCTATGCAAGAACGTTGCGCATTCAACGTTTCATACATTAACAAAACTTATTTTGTATTACAAATGTTAATAAACATAATAAACACCGGAGAAACGATCACTTTATATATGTTGTATTACGTTATTTTAAAAGATACATTTTTTTTGTGTTTATAATTTAATTTACAAATGTAAATCGACATTTTTTTATTGTATATTATTAGTTAGAATTTTAATAAATTAATGTCTAACAACATGGTTTATATAATAATTCTAGAAAGAACACTAATTAATAAATATTAAAAAGTAATTTTATCTACATTCCGAACGCCGAAAATGCACAAACAAAACCCATTACAATGGCTAAGAATTTTCCATTGCTTTTTTGGAATTTACTATCAGTTCCTGAAGTCTTCTTTGAAGTAACAGCAGGAGTAGCAGAAGTTTGAGATTGAGGTTTTTCAGGTGGTGTATCAGTAGGCGCAGATGTATCACCAGTATCCACTATTGTTGCAGGTTGTGGTGCTGGTGAATTTGGTGAACCAGCAGCAGCAGGAGGAGGAGGTTGCGCAGTTGGAGTAACTACAACTGGTTGCGCTGTTGTTGGTGCAATTGCAGGGGCTGGAGTTGTTGGAGTAGTCGAGGATTCTTTAAATTATTATGAGTATTTTTTTTAAAAAATTATGAAAAAAAATTATGAAAATGATTATGAGTATTTTGATTTTAATTACATGTAATATCAATTTTATTTTAATAACATACTGGTAAATGTCCAAGGAGCTCCTACAGTATAATTCGCAGGAGGGCTGCTATTACTAGGTTCAAGCACCGTAAACCTTGTACTCCAACTAACACCAATAGAAGGGTTCGCAGAATCGGAAAACATTAAGAAATAAATTTGTCCTGGAGGATAGCCAAATGAACTAGGCGCTGGACAAATAAAAGATAAAGATGTTGCGGTGTTATCCAACTTAGCGGCAAGGGTTTGTAATGGAATTTGTGGACTGTTTGGACCCGTCATGAATTGGACGGTTATTCCTGACATTGAAGAACTTTTTGGCGCAACACCGTTGTCTGCCCACAGTGCTGTTACCTTTTTTTTGTGAATAAAAATTAAAGAAAAAATTAGATAAAATTTATAATTGTCTTTAATGGTGCGCATTTTAAAGTAAAAATGAGTTCGCAACCATTTAATTCTCATTGATATTTGAGAGTAAAGATAATAGTAAATACATTTTGACCAGCGGTCCACACAGTAGCGCCTACAGGTTCAGTTGGTGAAGGAACTGCGAGTGAATAGCCAGCTCCAACTATAAGTACTAACAAGCAACTTAGATATATCTTAAGGAACTTGTCCATTTTTAATAATAATAATAATAATAATAATAATAGATAATAATAATACAGTAATAAAGAAAGGAAAGAAATTTAATCGGCAAATTTATATGATGCCGAAAAGAATGAATGAGATTGACTCAGTTTAGGAAAAAGAAGCTTTTATTTTTTTTCTAAAAAAAGGTATGCTAATTTCAGACACAGCATCCTTTTATAAATTATCAGATTTTCTTTTTTGTCTTGCGTTATGAAAAGATATTATAGTTTTGTTTATATTAAATATTTCCTTTTTAGGAAGTTTTTGAACACACTTTCTAAACTTCATGTAGTCTGTTTATAATGTTTAACACAATCGATTGATGATAATAATAGTAGATCCGGATAACAAGGCACAGGTATAGGGTTTTAATTTTTTTAATATAAACTGTACTACATAAGGAAATAAGGAAATAACAGATCAGATTATGTATTACGTAACAAAAAAAAGGAAACCAGTCTGTTGAAGTGTAGTTTCATATAATTGTGTGACCCTTATGACTTATTACTTTTTTTTTATAAAATAATTGTGATTGCGATTGCGATTGCTAAAATTGACCAACTTTATCATAATTCTGAGTTTGGCCCAACACAAACTCAGAATTATTATAATTTGACCAGCTTTAACAATCGCAATTGCAATCACAATTATTTTATAAAAAAAATTAAGGGTTGCAAAGCGCAATAAAATGATGTTAAGTGATTATAAAATCGTTTAAATTCTAATAGTTAATTTTTTTTTCTTCCTAGCCTTTGATGCATAATGGACCCTTGGCAAACCCATTTATAATATGGACACACGGAATCAAAACACCTAGCCAATAAACATGATTAAAAATTTTAACTAACATAATACAATTGTAATTTTAATTTGACTCATCGTATCAAAAGGGTTCTTGAATTAAAATAAGATACCTATTAACCTACTTGTATGCAAGAAGTAAATAACAAACAATTTTCAGGGTGCATAATACCTTCTTTTTTCCAAAATGTTTATCCGTTAACTGCTATAAAAAGAGCTAAACAATTTCTTTAAACGGAAGAAAACTTTACATAGTTCTCATTATACATAAATTATAAATCATATAGAAAGATGCGCTTTTTGGATCAGACTAAAATTCTATAGGATACATATTATTAGCGAAATAATTATGAAAATATAAAATGATCCTCACCAACGATCCCGTCTATCCCCGAAATTTTTAATATATTTTAATGTGGTGCGAAGAAAACATGTGTTCGAATTCGAATGATCATATCCTTTTAAAGCATTGGTGTTTTTATTATCCGTTTATTCTCCTCCAAACCCGAGTTCACAAGTACAGTATAACCTCGATATAACGATAACGAAAATTATTTCTAATTTTTATGTTTAAATTAGCTTCGATACGTATAACGAAACTACTAATAAAGTTTTGATATAACGAAGCAAAACCTCCAGCTCCAGAGCTTCGTTATATCGAGGTAGGTTATACAGTAATAAACATTTGTACAAAATCTTTTAGAAATCACTAGTTATAATAGTTAGAATCAAATTACATTAATGTGTAGTCTGTTCAATAGCTATTTATTATATTATTAATTGAGAAAAAAACTTGCATAAAAAAGTATGTACGTACGTACTGCATGTTGGTTTGGATTAATAGGTATTTGTGTCTACGTAAACGTATAGAGATGAATCGGACCTTCCTTATTAATATCAGTTTTTATAGACCTTCTAATAGTGCTTATTAGCTCGGTCGGCGGTTCTTAAGAATTTCTTAATACTTAGAATTTATTTATTTATTCCCCCATTCAACGTATTGTAAGGTTTACCTCTCATCTTTGGTACCAGGTAAATATGTATATTTTTACATTTTAAGTTATATACAGAAATATATACTTAGGAATGTTTTTATGAGAAGCTATTAATAAAATAATCGTAATAATTTCTATCTTAAATTGTGAATTTCTTTTTGAAACAACGTTTTAAACATAGTGTTTACTACTATTCGCTCTGCTTCAATGTTACCCAAGAGGAAAATGTTCTTGTAGATTCATTATCTAATCTATTTCTTTTGGTTAAAAAATAATAAGTTCAGTTACGGAGAATGCTTATTTCAACAATTATATTATTAGAATTTGTGGCTTTGACACTTTGTTTCATCAGGAATTACAGAATTAGACCTCATTTATTAATTTAGAGGTCCACTTATACTAATATTAGAAAATGTAAACGAAAAATTTTCATTACCGCTCATTTACGTCAAGTTATAGTGATCTTGATAATATTATCTTCAAGGTCTCTATTTCTATACAATATAGTAATGGTTTAACGCAAATTATGGATGCCCCCTTATTGGAAAAAATGAAACAAGGAATCCCAATGATTCTTATTTTTAGGACAGGACTATCATATAGCCCAAGTATAGGTCAACTAGGAAAATCACCATCCGACATTTTCTAATTTAAGATTTTCATAGACGTCGCCATACAAATTTTATTACATATTAACTTATGACCTCATGATTTTCGTGATGATGATCGAGGAAAATTAAATTGTCTATTAATCATATTTCCGATTAGTTATATTTATATTTGAAATCAGTAATACAGTGGTTTTAAAATTTACGGAATCTCCGATTTCACACGACATCATGATTTGCAGAGGTCACATCTTTTTGCAAAGCGCAATAATAAGATATTGGAATTTTTAGATTTGAAAAAAAAACCCCCAATTCTTCAAAGATATAACGCTCTAAAAATAGAATAATGACAATTAGCGAATTGAATTCAAGCATGTGTAAAGTTGGTTTTCGGATTATCCTAAAATAAAAAGATTTATTTTTTGGATGTCCTAAAATTCCTAAATTATCCTATATTTTTTACTTATGTGAAAGTACTAACGATTGACGTAAATACACTTTTGGATCACACTTCGCTTCAAGATATATGTCTACAACTAGTTTATTATATTAATGATTAAATTGGTAACAGTAAAGCAAGTCATGTTATATTTCAGTCATGGCTGATGATAATATAAAGAAATTGGGCATTAAAAAGAATAAACACAAAGCGTTCGAATATTATCAAAATCTGATAATAGGGGGTTTCAGACCTAAGGTTCAGGTTTCTGATTTCAAATTACGTATTAATTTTGTAATCAGCGATTTGTAAATTTACGTCATCAAAAAAAATAAAAAATAAAAAAAATAGGACTTTTCAAACTCCCACTTATTTTCAAAAATAAGTTAACTCTGAAACCCCCCACAGTAGTTTAATTTTAAACTTTAACAAAGATAACATATAATTGATAATCATCTAACTATAATTTGATTTTTATTTTAATTTCACTAATATCGATACAAGAAATTAATAATAAGTTTTTCGCTCATATTAAATTATGAAGTTGATTTAGAATCAAATTTAGGCGGGTACTATGTGAAGAACCAGGTATTGTATTTGGGGGGATATACTATATTGAAATTAATCAATAGTTATATTCCCGGATCTTCAAGAAACAGTTGGTGGTGATAATGAGTAATACCCGAATCTTACGCAGTGGCCAATCCATTGATCTCTGATTCATCGCTCCCCACGGTCTACCGATTCAAATGTTTGCTACAATATCGATATTAAATAATTTTTTAATTAATTATTTCATTTAAAACCCTATATCGAGACCATTTTACATAACTGTTGTAAAAAAAAAATTACTGATCGCCTATGACAGTGATTATTTCACTTAACCCGATTTAAGGTTTGCAATGAAATGATCGATACTTTGAATTAGGGATAGGGTTGTTAATGGAGCACTCCAGTCAATAGTAAAACATATAACCCACTCCGGAGCACTCCAGAAGTGGGTTATATGTTTTATTAATGTCTGGAGTACTCCATTAACAATCCTAATTAGGGACAAAGACCTGCAGGATCGGTAAGGACTCGGTCCTTAGATCACATGAAAACACAATACATTTTATAGGACTTGGATCCTAAATTGAATTATTATAACAATACAAACTTAATTGATTGGATGAACTTATTCGATAGATTCAATTCAGGATCTGATACAGGATCTAAGTTAAGTGGTCCGTGGGGAACTGGTTCGTACCAACTTTTTAGGGACTAGTACAGGACTGGTCCATGGAAAAGATAGAATTTCCTGGATAGCTAGATCTATCGCTAAGGGTTGTAGGGTAACAGAGTAAGAAGCGAGGTGTATGTTTTGTTGAGTAAACTATGCATATCTTCAAATTCTATTGGGCAGGCAATTTTGACAAAATTGACACAGTATAAAATCAAACAGATACAGTCATGGGGGCTGTTTAATAGGAAGTTTATATTGCACATATAGTCAATTGCAAGTTTGGTTTTAAGTTTCATAAAACTTGATCTCTGTTGAATTTGTTTATGAACTGGACATTATGTAGTCTTTTGTATTTTTCTACTGTCATTTGTAAAAGTGAAATAAACCTTCTGGTGTTGAGGTTGAGTTTTCTTGTTTTTTGCAAAGGAGCAGAAGAAAGCTGAGTCAAGGTAGTTAAACTTTTTGCTAATCACATAGGGGATATTGTGTTCAGTTGGCTTGGCTTGAATTTTATGTTTGAAGAATTTTTGTAGGAGTTCTGAGGAAAAGAAAGTATTGATGATGGTATCATTGTTCTATAAATTGGTGTCAAATTTAACTATACAGCTTTTAGCGAGGGTCTTGACCACTGAGGAAGAGAAAGTATTGATGATGGTATCATTGTTCTATAAATTGGTGTCAAATTTGACTATGCAGCTTTTAGCAAGAGTCTTGACTACTGAGTTAGCCCAGATGAGTAACTAGTCAGATTTGGAGTTATTTGTCCAAATATTTGAGGTGAGTGCTTTGCTATAAGACTTTTTTACTAGTTCTTAAGATTCTATTATTGTGTTAAACTGTGTGTTCATATTGTCATCATAGTTATGGATTGGTTGGGTTAGTTGGTTTGCTTTGGTTGGTGCTAGTAGTTGTTGTTCCA